GGTGGGAGAGATAGACCAGGAATAAGGAGAGGGATCCCAGCCCAGAGTCTGGCTGCTGCATTGGGGACCAGTTTCCCAGTGTCTCCCAGGGCAGCTCCCCACGGAGGCCACTGCAGCAATCCCCTCGCACCCAGAGCAGGGCATCCCAGGACCACATCCTCTCTGTCCCAAAGGGATTGTTGCTGGCAAAGCAGCCGGAAATGGGCGCTGCTACTCACTGAGCCTCCAGGGACCTTGGCATCAGTGGCTGTGCGTGTGTTAAGCTATCTTAACAGAATACTAATACTAAATTACATGCCTAAATTTCAAGGGAGATGTCTTTGGCCCCACCCACTTGGCCCTTGTCCAGATACATTCCTGGCCCTCAGACCAAAGAAAAAGGGACCCCACCCCAGGAGTCTGTCTTGAGAGCGGCAGAGAGTCCAAGTGCAAGAAAAGGAGACAGAAGCAGGGGAGTGGGGGTGGGGGGAGCAACTACTGAGGACCCCCAGGATGAGGACCCCCACTAGAGCCAAGCATCCATTTTCCACAAGATACAAATGACTCCCTTGTCGGTCAGTTCTGACTTCTTGCATTTACTCGAAGGCAGGAGCAACAAGGCTGATTCATTTCCCAGAAATCCCTTCAGTTGCCTCCACATTTTGCATTGCTAGAAGGCTAGAGACATATTTCTTCTCTTCTTACTCCTCTTTACTCCCCAAAAGATAGCTAATGGTCTGGGATGTGGTGTAATCGAGCCCTAGTTCCCAGCAAGACTCATCCATGCTTGCTCAGGGAAACCTTTTTCTTTTCCTGATACTGTACAACTTTTGTAACAGAACAATGTATTTGCTTTCTAGGATTTGCTAGAGCTTCTCATTCAGACAGACAGAACTTGGCAGAAGACCAAAGGGTTCCTTCCGATCTCTCAGAGGCTTCCTGAGAGCACAGATGGATGAGCGAGACACAGCTGGCCCTGGAACAGGAAGAGGCCATGCCATCCAAACTGGGAGCAGTCGGGGGGTTCTGGGAAAATTTTGTGCAGAAGATCCTGGGTGAGGAGGACACCCTCTGCTCAAAGATGCAGAGCCAGCAGGTGAGGCAGTTCTGCTTCCAGGAGGCCAAAGGACCCCGAGAGGTTTGCAGCCGACTCTACCACCTTGACCGTCAGTGGCTGAAGCCAGAAAGGCACACGAAAGCTGAGATGCTGGACCTGGTGATCTTGGAGCAGTTCCTGGCTGTCCTTCCACCAGAGATGGAGAGCTGGGTGAGGGACTGTGGAGCGGAGACCAGTTCCCAGGCGGTGGCCCTGGCCGAAGGTTTCCTCCTGAGTCAGGCAGAGGAGAAAGAGCAGGTGAGAGAGACTTTCCTCTGGATACTCCCAAGGGGCTCCAAAGAGGATGGAGAACATCCCATAATGCTCTACTGTTGGCCCATCTGTTTTGTGGGAAGGCATCCATGGAATGAGATGTAACACCTTGAATGTTTTGTCTTTGTCATTCTTTTACTAATATTTCTCCCCATTCTCTGTTTTGAATCCTTGTTTCTTTTTCAGGGAAAGGATCTCTTTGCAGAAATGGACCTGGAGTCCTGTGAGGCAGAGAGGCCTCCGTTGGACACCAGAGAGAGGCCACTGGGTAAGGGGAAGGTGGTGTTTCTCTGTTTGGTCTCATTCTGTTGGTTTTCCAACTCATCTGAGGGTTCTTTGTCACGGCTAAAAATTGGTCTCTGTTTCTTTAATGCTTAAAAAGCTGGGTCAGCATGAGTCAGCGGCCTGCACCGGGTTGTATATATAGAGTGAGAAATGTTAGTTTGGTTTGGGTTGGTTGGTTGGTGAAAGCTGGTAGTGTTGATGTGTGTGAGAGATTTTGACCAGCTTCGACCCATCTGAAGCTGATACAGGCTTTTCTTATCTTGAGCCCAAGCAGAGTAGTCCACACAGCAGAAGGAGAAGCAGTATGTGCCACATTCTCAACTTTATTTCCACTCTATGCTGAGAGAATACAAACATGCATCTTGCCTCTGTGAGAGCAGAGAAGCAACCTGTCTCTCTAACAAAGAAACCAAGAGAAGAGTGAAAAACAGCAAACCAGTGTACGTCACATCCAGTCTCCCATTCCTGTGGGAATCCAACAGTAACTTGGAGTGTGGAATGCAAAACAATTTCTTGTGACATGCATTCGCTGCTCAGTGAGGAAGCAGAAACCAACAGTGTGTACAGTTGGTCAGTCGCTTTTGCAGAAAGGCTTTTAAGAATAAAAGCGGAAAGCACTCTGCAAGGATACTCTTCTTGTGGACTCTTTTATGCCAACAAGGGTCCGAGGACCAGGCTGAGGCAACAAAGGGAGGTCAGAACCCCCCCTTTTTTTTACAAACACTGACAGGTTATGGGCCCAGTGTTTCTGAGCTTGTGCAGAGTGCAAAACGACTGACAGCATCTGAGCAGGGAGCTGGTGAGTCCTGGTGGTGTATGGAGCCAGTGGCTGTGCGTTGGAGCAGTTGGTGGCAAGCTGTAACTGTCTGCAGTGACGCTGGGGCAGCTAGGATCTGAGGATCAGGAAAGCACTCAGCGTCGGCTACTGGAACAGTCTGAACTCCTAGAGGACCATAGTAGGCGACTCACAGAGCAGCTACACCAGTACTCTGCAAGGATACTCTTCTCATGGACTCTTTTATGCCAACAGAACCTTTTTTTTTTTTTTACAAACACTGATATTCTTTTCATCTTGTTTTGCAGGGAGACAGTTGGGAACAAGGGTCCAGAGGAGGGGAGATGGGTTTTTGCACATCTAACATATGAAATGGGCACAAACCTCCAAATGCTTTCAGCAAGTATGGCTTTCTCAAAGGCCCATCTGTAGTTAGAGATGCCCTGTTTCCCCTGTGAGAGAAGTAGGCACTCCTGGCGTCCTGTTTACATTTTTTCTCTTGTAGGTGACAGAAGGATGCCAGCAGGACCTCCTTATCCACCTTTTCATGGGGGCAGAAGGGAAGCAGCGGCTGTGGAACCAGATCAGGTCAGGGGAAGCTGCCTTGTGGGGACAGAGGCCAAGGGATGGAGCAATGTCATGGACTGGTTGGGCACAGAGGAATGGTGGGAGGAAGCAGCCTGGGAACCAGGAAAGGAAGACGGCTCAGAGCCGAAGGAGTGGAGGTGGAGGAAGGATGAGCGGTCAGAGGCGGAAGAGGGAGAAGCCTGGGAAGAGGAGGTGTCAGAAGCTGAAGGGGAAACAGGGCTTAGTGAGCTGGGAGACTCTGTGGCTGAATGCAGTGCAGAATCAGAGGCAGAAGAGGAAGGAGGCAAGTGGGAGAGGAAGATCGAGAGACAGAGTTGAGTCAGGAGAGTCTCCCGGCTTGTCTCTCAGAGCCAGGAAACCCCTTGCATTGCAGGAATCTCTGCTAGATTATGCAAACTGACAGACCCTCTGGGAATTAGCTGCTGTTCTCATGAGGCCCGAAACTCAGCCAGGTCTGTGAATATTGTGTTCTTGTTAAGAGAGTGTGAACTCCAGCTGTGAAGTGTGGGATTTCCTACCCATATAACTCTGACACCAGCCTTCTGAATTTCGCCAGTAGGATTCATCTGTAGTTGCAGTTTTCATGGAATCCTAGAGTTGAAAGGGACCCCAAGGGTCATCAAGTCCAACCCCCTGCGTTGCTAGATCATCCAAGACAGATGGCCATCCAAAATAGGCTTATCTTATTTCTAGACTGATGCAAAAATTGGTTTCTAAGAAGTGGACAAATGAGAACAAATAGTGGCATGGATTCACCTAACCAGCGCCATCCGCTGGAAAATGGAGCCAGCCCCCCATTCCTCCCCTCCCCCTCTCCATGCCCCCATGAACCCCTTGAATTTGGCTCTAGGGCATTGGGAGGGAACCTTACCAGAACAACTCACGAGGAGAGGAGAAAGTGGATCCTTCCATTGGGGAAACTGGAATGCTTGCTGTCAGAGCCGCTTCCAGGTCCCAGCTCACAGAGGACCACGCTAGCTGGCAGTACTGTACAAACGTCTTTATTGAGTTACAGTTTCCATTTCCAAGCCGCAGCGCGCAGCTCTACGTCTTAGAAGCTAGACCGGCGAAGCTCCGTCTGAGTCTCCGCCTCCTGTACACCAACTTAATACTCTAGCCTTACTCCACCTCTTCCGTCTTTCCTTCCTCCTCTGGGTCCCTCTACCCCCCGTGGTCTCTTCCTTCCTGGACTCTTCTGACGCTGACCCCCCGGACTCTTCTCCCTCCTTGCGGCGGGCTTTAGGACCTGGCTCCCTATCCGGGCTGCTTACTGTGCCGCCTTCCTGTGCATTTGAACTTGGCGCGCGCGCCCAGCCTTCAACCTTCCTCTTGACCGTTTCCTCGCTCCCCGATGGAGGTGTGGCCGATCCTGACTCATGCCCTCCCGCTTGCGGCGAGCCGCCAGATCCCGATACCTGGCGCCCTTCCTCCCCACTGCGCTCTGTTGGGGATGTTGGCCCTGATTTCCAACTGCTGCTCTCTGAACCCCCTTTTGTCCCTTCTTCCTGGGGTGTCCCCCTAGGCGCCCCCCTTGCTCTGACCACTGGCGCCCCTTTCTGTGAATCTTCCGATTCACTGGAAAGACTCAGAGATCTCGGGCCGCTGTCATCGCTCATATTTCCTTCGGATTCCTCCCCCTCGCTCTCTGTTTCCTCCCTTTCCTGTGCCTCTGCTCCTGAACCCCTGACACTTGCGTAGGCAGAATGACTTGGAAAACACAAGGTGGAGTTCCACCTATTTGCACAAAGACGGATACCCATAACTAAAAGGCAGAATAAAATAAGCATCCATAAATAAAATGTGCAGCAAAGGAATCCTATTGAAACAACACCGCAATTTACAGGAAGGAACCAACAGAGCATTGTGTAGCAGATCATATTTCTGCTGTCTCAGAGGAGGACATTTCCCTTTTTCTTTCAGGGCCCAGTGTGCTTTGAAGATGTGGCCGTTCGCTTCACGGACGAGGAGTGGGCGTACCTGGATTCTGTCCAGAGAGCTCTGCATAAGGACGTCATGGAGGAGAATCGTGGGATCGTGGCCTCTCTTGGTAAGCCTCCGTGTGGGATCATCATATCAGCCTGGAAATTCAAAACATACCTCTATGGAACCAACCTCATATATTTTCACAGAGCTCAACAGCGCCCCCGTATAACACCTGGGAACCTAACACCCCCACAATAAACAGTAACTTTCAGTTTTTTCTTTGAACAATCTTCCTCAAATTATTCCTTTTTCTACCACGACCGGGCTGGTCTGAACTGCCCAGGCCATCTTCAATGTCAGCTTCAGAATTGTTAGGAAAGATAAGTTGTGAGCTTTAGAGCTTACAGGGTTAACAGCTCAGAGAGTCCTGCATCTGGGGAGGAGCTTTCTCAACATCCAGGAAAGCTGTTTCTTCGTTCTTTCTGACTTTCGTTTTCTGCTGAGACATGGAAGACGCAACGTCTGCATCTTCCGATGGTTTATCTTGCTGTACATACAAAAAAGCTTTCTAATTTAGAGGAACAGCAGTGTTCCTTCCGCTGTCCCGGGAAGGCAGGCGGGGGGGGAGCAAAGACTTTTGCCCCCCGCCGGCCTTCAGAAGAGGTCCAGGACCTCTTCTGAAGGCCGGCGGGGGGCAAAAGTCTTTGCTCCCGACCGCCAGCATTTTAAAAGAGGTCCCCGGAGATTTCCCTATGGGCTTTCTTCTTGCGAAGCAAGCCCATAGGGAAATTCGTCTTGCGGAACGGCTCAAAAACGGAAAACTCTTTCGTCTTGCGAGTTTTGCGAGGCGTTCGTCTTGCGAGGCACCACTGTAATGAAAGAACTTTTATGAAGGAGTATTTATTAGAACAGCAGTCATAACCATTGGCAACCTTTAGCTTTAATTAAGGCCTTACAATGCCTTCCCATGATATGAACCAAGTTTTTAGTTCTGCAGTTTCTTTAGTCGGCTCCATAGATTTCTGATTGGGCTAAAGTTTGGGCTATTCCCAGGCCATTCCAGCAGTGTAATATCTTTATCTTGAAAGCACCTTTTGCACACAGCAGCAACATGACATGGAGCGGAATCCTGCTGAAATAGAAAATAGAATATATATGTGTGTGTGTGTGTGTGTGTGTGTGTGTGTGTAATGTTTCCAAGGGGTTGATCGAGAGCAAGCAGGCAAATATCTCCCTGCTTGGCTGTGAAGCCTTGCTTTTGCTGCCAAAATAAACCTTATCCATCCGGAGCGCCACTCTCCCGTGGCTGACTCAGTCGCTGGCAGAATCCGTGAGTGGGCGGTTCCTAAACTTTCCCCAGCAAAGCAGCTTCTTGACGCCCAGTCTGCGCCTCCCCTCTCTGCGCAAGGAGGCCGTGGGTAACGGAGGACCCCTCTCCTCCCCGCTTTGCCCAGGCAAGTTGTCCTGGCACCGCCTCGCCTTTTCCGACTCCTGCAGCTCCTCTCCACTGGAGGCATCTTTATTCTCCTCCGTTGAAGGGGAGCTGCTTCCCACGATCCCTGGAGGCTCTCTGTAATCCATTCGGCTTTTCCTCTCTCCCTCCTGAACCGATGGCAGTTCCCTGACAATATGCTTCAGCATCTGGGAAAAGATCACCTGAGGAACGCTTCAGTTTGGGAGCAAGTCTTTCATTTATGCATTTTAGGGCATTTACATTCCCATTAATGATGTAAATTTTGCCCACATCTTTTGCTGCCATACAACCCCAGATCAACACACTATCTGGGTGTTTCACGGTCGGTGTAATGCAAGTGAATGTAAATCTTCTCTGATTCTTCTCCTCACGTATGTCATGTCATCACTACCAAGCAAGGAGATTTGGGTCTCATCACACCAAATAACATTGTCCCATTGTTCCGCTGTCCTGTTAACATGGGTTTAATGTTTTCAACCTTTGCTTGAGAGATGACAATGGCTTTTTCCTTAGAATTATAACATTTTGACCAGTCCTTGCACTCAACTTCACATTACATTGTGCCATGTCATCTTGTATACACCCAGATGATTTTCTTCTGACAAACACTGACAAACTGGAACGTGTCCAGAGGAGGGCAACCAAAATGGCCAAAGGCCTGGAAACGATGCCTTATGAGGAACGGCTAAGGGAGCTGGGCATGTTTAGCCTGGAGAAGAGGAGGTTAAGGGGTGATATGATAGCCATGTTCAAATATATAAAAGGATGTCACATAGAGGAGGGAGAAAGGTTGTTTTCTGCTGCTCCAGAGAAGCGGACACGGAGCAATGGATCCAAACTACAAGAAAGAAGATTCCACCTAAACATTAGGAAGAACTTCCTGACAGTAAGAGCTGTTCGACAGTGGAATTTGCTGCCAAGGAGTGTGGTGGAGTCTCCTACTTTGGAGGTCTTTAAGCAGAGGCTTGACAACCATATGTCAGGAGTGCTCTGATGGTGTTTCCTGCTTGGCAGGGGGTTGGACTCGATGGCCCTTGTGGTCTCTTCCAACTCTATGATTCTATGATTCTATGTAGGGACAGTCTCTCCACTCGTCCATCATCACTTGCCTTTGTGCACCTTTCCCTGCCTTTACCGGTCTGATTTTGTAGTGACTGAGTCTCCTTATACCTCTTCAAAAATATAGAAATGCCAGCTTTGGTTAAGTTTTTCCTAATCTTTCATCAATTTCTTCAAAACTGTAGCCTTGTTCACTTAACAGTACAATTTTACATCGCTTTCTGGGTGACCAGTCAACTCTTTGTGCCATTTCTATAATTTTATTATGTTTTACAAGAACACATTTTTAATATGATTTTTATTAGTTTTCCAATAAAAACAAATTCATAACATCATTAAACATCAAAAACTCATCACATATCTTTTTTTTCTTTTAGACTTCCATCAACATGTCTGATAATTTTCCGTAATTATCACAGATCTTAATTTATATTGCATTATATATATCCTTTCTTACCATGTTGTTTAAACAATATTTCTACCAAATCTTCTTACAGAGCTTTTTGAAAACTTACAAATGTTATATCATTATCACAAATATTTTTAATATATTCTGTAAATTTACTCCAGTCCTCAGTGAATCTTTGGTCTCGTCGGTTGCGAATCCTCCCTGTCAATCTGTCCAGTTCCGCGTAATCCATTAATTTCGATCTCCATTCTTCAATCGTAGGCATTTCTTCTTGTTTCCATTTCTGGGCCAAAAGAGTTCTGGCTGCTGTTACTGCATACAGAAATACTTTCTGATCGTTCCTTTTTATTTCACCACCTAATATTCCTAATAGAAATGCTTCTGGTTTTTTAACAAATATATATTTCAGTATTTTCTTTATCTCATTATATATCATTTCCCAGAAGCACTTCATTTTTTTACATTCCCACCACATGATAAAATGTCCCTTCTTTCTCTTTACATTTCCAACATTTATTACTCACCTTAGACATCTTACTTAATTTAACTGATGTTATATACCATCGATATTTTCATAACATTTTCTTTAATTGTGGTACATGCCGTAAATCTCATCCCTTCCTTCCACAATTTTATCCAATCATCAAATTGAATGTTATATCCAAAGTCTTTGGCCCATTGAATCATAACTGATTTAACCTCTTCATCCTTCAAATGCCATTCTAATAATAATTTATACATCATAGATAAATTTTTAACTTCGTTATTCAATACTTCTCGTTGAAACCTAGATTCTTTTTCAGAATAGCCTCTTTCTGCAACCTCTTTTCTAAACATTTCATTAATCTGAAAATAATGCAGCCAATCGTTTACATATTCTTTCACTTCTTCATATGGTTTCATTTTCCACTTACTTCCCTCTTTCTCAATTAAACTTCCATATGTTATCCACCTCCCAGTCATATTGATCTTTTTAACACTCATCGCCTCTAATGGTGATAACCAGTGTGGTATTTTTGGTTCAAGTAGGTTTTTGTACCTACCCCGTACCTCATTCAGAGATCCTCTAATAATATGATTTTTGAAACCTTTATGCACTCGGTTTTTTTCATACCATAAATATGTGTGTCAACCGAATCTATTGTCATATCCTTCCAAATCTAACAAATCTCTATTTTCTAATTTCATCCATTCTTTCAACCAACATATGCATGTTGCTTCATAATATAATCTCATATCTGGCAGGGCCAAGCCTCCCCTCTCTTTTAAATCTGTTAACAACTTAAATTTTATTCTCGGCTTTTTGCCCTGCCAGATATATCTTGAAATCAAAATCCATAAGATGCCACCAAACGAATAAAAGTCTGTGTTAAATCTCAAAGAGAGGGGAAGAGAAGGAGAAGGGCAAAAGCCTTCCCCATCAAAGATACAAAAATGGTGCAGTTCGCTTCTTTGTATCCCATTCAAATACTTCGCAGAGAATGAGGCGGGGGGGGGTATGAACTTCAGAGGGCAAAAACACTCCTAATTCCTCTCAAACTTATTTTAAACTTCCACCAAATTAAGGTAAAGAAACAGTATTTTCCCTCTTAGTATCTTCTGTCTCTCTTCACAGGCTAGAATTAATAAATCAGTCCGTCGCTGCCAATTGGGCAGATCTTTTTAAAAACAAAAGTAGAAAGCTCTCGGAGTCTTCTCCCCCAACATTTCACACCGACTCACTGATAAGACTATTAATTGCCTTCCAAATGACTCTCCCCCTTTTCTCTATCTTTATACTCCTTATAGTCCTTTAAAAGGCAGTCAAATAAATTATCAGTTTAATCTGTTTGCATTGACTTACGTTTTTGTCCCGCTCTGAAGATTGTTCTTCTGTGTAGTTTAAATTCCAGGCAAGGCTGACCTCCTTTTTTCCACCTTACCCACTTCAAATTGGCTCTAATCCATGGATTTGTATTTTAAAAAGTCCCAATTCGATTTCTTAATGTTCGAGAGCTGATCGCTTCTGTGTGCAAGCTCGGAGCTTCGCTCTTGAGGGATAGAAATGGCCTCCTGCTGTCCGCTTCTCTACCCTGCGGCTCTCGTCACCTCCAAAAAAGAGGTTACTTGGCAGCCGGAGGATAAGCTCTTGGACCGTGCCGGGACCCTGCCCCTTGAATATCCTTTCAAGGGTGTTTGGGGGGCTGCGGCGCTCTTGCAGCACTCCCTTTTTCCCTCAAAAGCTGGATTCTCTCAGCACTGAGGAATCCCACTTGCTTTCACTCCCGCGATCGCCGGAAGCCTCCTCAACTCTTTGTGCCATTTCTATAATTTTATTATGTTTTACAAGAACACAAAAAAAAAACAACCAACTTGAAAGCAATCACAAAAGACACTGACAAAAGTCAGCCTAAGCAATTTGTCCTTCTTTTTCTGGTTATCTGGCTATAGCATTAGATAGAATACGGGTAATTGAACAATTTCCATTGATGCATAATTTTATGATATTACTCCAAAAGAAGCAGTGTTATGAGCCATCAAACCTATGAAATACACTTTTCTCCAAAAGTCTTCCACAATTTTGACCACTACTGTATATCAAACAAAGCAACATTCAGCACCTCAACAGAATCTCATAATAAATATGTTGGTTATTGACAAACAACAAAGGTAAGAAACACACTGAACTCCCTTAAGTTCTTCTCCATTTGTTCCTGAGGCTCTAATCCCTTTTTGTCTCCATTGCAGATTGTGATGAATCAGAAATCGAGAATGAAGGTGATCACGATAAAATCCCCAGAGAGGAGAAGCCACGTAAAAATTTGGAGTTTGGAGAAAGCTGCAGTCAGCGCTCCCATTCCACTTCCCATCAACAAAATATCCTTGGAAAGAAACTCTATCAGTGTGTGGAATGTGGAAAGAGCTTCAGTAACAGCTTCTCTCTCACTTCCCATCAAAGAATTCATACAGGGGAGAAACCCTATCAGTGTGTGGAATGTGGAAAGAGCTTCAGTAGGAACACCGATCTCATTTCACATCAGAGAATTCATACAGGGGAGAAGCCCTATCCGTGTGTGAACTGTGGAAAGAGCTTCACTCATAGCTCCTCTCTCACTTCCCATCAAAGAATTCATACAGGGGAGAAACCCTATCAGTGCATGGAATGTGGAAAGAGCTTCAGTAGGAGCACTGAACTCACTTCCCATCAAAGAATTCATACAGGGGAGAAACCCTATCAGTGTGTGGAATGTGGAAAGAGCTTCACTCATAGCTCCTCTCTCACTTCCCATCAAAAAATTCATACAGGGGAGAAACCCTATCAGTGTGTGGAATGTGGAAAGAGCTTCATTTATAGCTCCTCTCTCACTTCCCATCAACGAATTCATACTGGGGAGAAACCCTATCAGTGCATGGAATGTGGAAAAAGCTTCCGTCAGAGCACCAGTCTCACTTCCCATCAGAGAATTCATACAGGGGAGAAACCCTATCAGTGCGTGGAATGTGGAAAGAGCTTCAGTAAGAGATCCAGTCTCACTTCCCATCAAAGAATTCATACAGGGGAGAAACCCTATCAGTGCATGGAATGTGGGAAGAGCTTCAGTCGGAGAGACTCTCTCTTTTCCCATCAGAGAATTCATACAGGAGTCAGACCTGAGGGATGCTCCTCCATCCACGATGCAGCTGCCAGTAGACCTTTGACACTGGCTCAGCAGAGCACACCTTGCTGTGTTAATCTGTAGGTGAGCTGGCAGAACAAAAGGTCCTCTCAAGGTGAGTGGAAAGGAGGGGAGTAATAGAATCATAGAATTGTCAAGTTGGAAGGGACCACAAGGTGCTTCTAGTCCAATTCCCCACATTGAGGGACTTGTTTGTCCTCCTGGCCATCCTTCTTATCATATGTATTGATTGTTTATGACCTCCGGGGTTGCTGAATGCACTCCTTTTAAGTTTTCATTCATTTTTCCCAAAAATATGCATGCTTAACTAGTGTTTGTAGTTTAACTTTTCCCCACGTGGGGTCTGTTGAAATGCTCAGAAGAAATCTGATTGGTTCTTATAAACACTCTGTAAAAGTTCTTTTGTGAATAAAACGACCTGGGCCGAGGGGTAGACAGAGAGAGACACAGACAGAGATTATTATACGCACCCTTCCCAGAGTCTTGCTGGTTCAAGCCTCTGTGTGTATTCTTATTAATCAGAGTTCAATGCTTCCTTTACTTTGGGAACGCCTCACTTCCCCCTCCCCGGGCGAAATCCCCTGGCCTTTCATTGTTAGAGCTGCCACCACGCCAGTAGCGTTTACCTCAGCAGTGCTGTGCAGGGACTGACTGAGCGGGCGGCGAGATGCTTTCAGCCTCGGACACTTGGTGGGTTCTGAAATGGCCGTGCAGGCCAGATTCACGACCCTGGCAGGCTGGATTCAGCCCATGGGACATAGTATGAGGACCCCTGGTCTCCACTGACTGGCAGCTCCCCAGAGTTTCAGGCAGGGATTTTGTCCAGCCCTTGCAGGAGTTGTCAGGGGTTGACCCTGGGACATTCTGCATGCCAAGCAGATGTTCTTGGTTCCCCATATTTCACTAGACTTTCGACGTTATGCTATTAGCAACCATGGAGATTACACCTGCCTCTTTCGAAAGAACACTCACCTGATCAATTTAATTAATTAAATAATAATAATAATATAATTTATTTATTTATTTATTTATTTAAAAAATGTTTATTAGGATTTTACAATAAACATAGGTTTCACAAACTAAAAAGAAAACATAGACAGAAAAAGAAAAAAGATAACAAGAAAAATACAAAAAATCCTAGAAGAAAAAAAAAGAAAATACAAAAAACAGATGACTAAAAAAAATATTAAAGAAAAATCCATTTTTCAATATCTTTAGGCTCATTTACTTATTTACTTGACCTCCTCACACCTCCCCTTTTTGTATTCCCGTTTACAAAATCCTTTCAGCAAATCCTTACCCTCTTTCATTTGTCTTTACTCTGTGTCTTAACCTATTATAACTACCGTATTTTTCTCTCTATAGCACGCAGATTTTTTCTCCGAAAAAGGAAGGGGAAATGTCTGTGCGTGTTATGCAGCGAATGTGTGGTCCCTGGAGCCGAAAAATCAGGCAAAAATCAAACCGCGCTTCACGGAGAAGGGAAACCTGAAAAGAGGAATCTGAAGAAGTATCTGAAGAAGTGTGCATGCACACGAAAGCTCATACCAAGAACTAACTTAGTTGGTCTTTAAGGTGCTACTGGAAGGAATTTTTTTTATTCTGAAAAGAGGAAGCGGCTGCTTTCCTGCATTCTGCCTCAGGGTCTTACTGCCCACCTTCTCTGTTTCGTTGCTGTGTTTGCTTAAACAGAACAAAGAGCAGGGAAAGCCCCTCCCCTCCAGGCAAGAAGAGGGGAAAGCAGAGCGTCCTTCGTTCTATCCTCTCCCTGCTCCGGAGGGAACAATGTTTGTGAAGGGAAGAGAGATTACAGGTTCAGCTTAAAATTCTGATATGACTTCCTGCTTTTTGTTTTTGGAGACACACAGCATTCAAATATGCTTTCTTCCATTTACAAGGATGAAATCCTTAAACAGTGTTTTGCCTGTAAATTCATGAGATCTGGAAGATTACAGTGTCTGTACCTCTTAAGGGATGGCAAAGCTTAGGTTTCGCTGCTAAATAGTTCTTAATGCAGTTAAAATGCTTTCTTCTGTCAAGGCAATTAAAAAATATATATATCAGGCAGCCGGAAAACATGCAGGTGGGAGGGAGAGAGAGAGAGAGAGAGCACACTGGCTGGCTTGTGTGGGTGGGTGGGGGAAAACTTTTGCCTTCCTATCCTCACGTTATAGCCCTCTCCTGCATTCTTAGCCTTCTGTGTTTTTCCTTCCCTCCCCACTTAAAATGTGGTTACAAAGCATGGATCCACATGGATCCTCAGGATCTTTGCATTGGGTCACCCCAAATTCACCATCAGAGCACATAGCATGTCCATGGCTACAGCCTGCCCCCCCCCAAAATCACGCACCCACTGTTGCCTGGGGCTGCAATGGTGCAAAAGCGTGGTTAAAAAGCATGGGTCCACATGGATCCTCAGGATCTTTGCATTGGGTCACCCCAAATTCACCATCAGATCACATGTCTGTGGCCACAGCATGAAGCACAAAAATGATACGTCCACTGTTTCATTCAGAATATTTTCCCCCTTGTTTTCCTCCTCTAAAAACGATGTGCGTGTTATGGTCAGGTGTGTGTTATAGAGCGAAAAATACGGTATATATTTTCGTCCATATGACTATATTTGCATATTCTTTTTAACCTTATTACCAAAACCACTTATTTTCAATCCAACATCATTTTAACATTCATTAATTCTACAGTATTTCTGCAAATAGTCTTTAAATTTCTTCCAATCTTCTTCCACCAACTCTTCTCCCTGGTCTCGGATTCTGCCAGTCATTTCCGCCAATTCCATATAGTCCATCACCTTCATCTGCCACTCTTCCAGGGTGGGTAAATCTTGTGTCTTCCAATACTTTGCAATAAGTATTCTTGCTGCTGTTGTTGCATACATAAAGAAAGTTCTATCCTTCTTTGGCACCAATTGGCTGACTATGCCCAGGAGAAAGGCCTCTGGTTTCTTCAAGAAGGTATATTTAAACACCTTTTTTAATTCATTATAAATCATCTCCCAGAAAGCCTTAATCCTTGGGCACGTCCACCAAAGGTGAAAGAATGTACCTTCAGTTTCTTTACATTTCCAACATTTATTATCGGGTAAGTGATAGATTTTTGCAAGCTTGACTGGGGTCATGTACCACCTGTATATCATTTTCATAATATTCTCTCTTAGGGCATTGCATGCCGTAAATTTTATACCTGTGGTCCACAACTGTTCCCAGTCAGCAAACATAATGTTATGTCCAATGTCCTGTGCCCATTTAATCATAGCAGATTTAACCGTCTCGTCCTGAGTATTCCATTTTAACAGCAAGTTATACATTCTTGAAAGTATCTTTGTTTTAGGATCTAACAGATCTGTTTCCAACTTTGATTTTTCCACCTGGAAGCCAATTTTTTTGTCTAAATTATAAGCCTCTCTTATTTGATAATAATGACGCCAGTCTCGCACTTTATCTTTTAGTTTCTCAAAACTCTGCAATTTCAATTTGTCTCCTCCTTGCTCCAAGATTTCCCAATATTTCGGCCACTTGGCCTCCATATTGAGCTTTTTCAGGGCCTTTGCCTCCATCGGTGACAACCACCTTGGGGTTTTATTTTCAAGTAAGTCTTTATATCTTGTCCAGACATTAAACAATGTTTTCCTGACAATATGGTTTTTAAATGCTTTATGTGCTTTAACCTTGTCGTACCATAAGTATGCATGCCACCCAAAAACATTATTGAAACCTTCTAGATCCAAAATGTCTGTGTTCTCAAGAAGCAGCCAATCTTTCAACCAGCAGAATGCTGCTGATTCATAATAAAGTTTAAAGTCTGGCAGGGCAAATCCCCCTCTTTCCTTTACATCAGTTAATATTTTAAATTTTATTCTGGGCTTCTTGCCCTGCCAGACAAATCTAGAAATATCTCTCTGCCACTTCTTGAAACAATCCATTTTGTCCAGAATTTGTAGTGATTGAAACAAAAACAGCATTCTTGGCAATACATTCATCTTTATAGCAGCAATTCGACCCAACAAGGAAAGCTTCAAATTTGACCATATTTCTAAATCCTTTTTCACTTCCAACCAACATTTTTCATAATTGTCTTTAAATAAGTTCCCATTTTTAGCTGTCATATTAATCCCCAAGTATTTCACCTTCTTAACCACTGTTAAGCCTGTCTCATTCTGAAACCTCTCTTTCTCATTCGGTGTTAAGTTTTTCTCAAGAACTTTAGTTTTTAACTTGTTCAACTTAAATCCTGCCACATGACCAAATTCTTGGATCAGTTCTAATACTCTTTTAGTACTAGATTCTGGCTCCTGTAAAGTCAATACTAAGTCATCTGCAAAAGCTTTCAATTTGTATTGTTTAGCTCCGACCTTTATACCCTTGATCAGATGGTCCCTTCTAATCATGTTTAACAAAACCTCCAATAAAAAGCAATGGGGAAATTGGGCAGCCTTGTCGTGTCCCTTTCTCTATCTTGAATTCCTCTGTCACCACATTATTAACTATTAGTTTAGCCTTTTGTTCTGAATAAATTGCACTTATACCATTTTCAAACCCTTGACCGACCCCCATCCCCTGAAGATTTTTCTTCATAAAGCTCCAAGAAATATTATCAAAAGCTTTCTTGGCATCCACAAAAATTAAAACTGCTTTGGTATTGATGTCCACTTGCAACTTCTCCAAAATGTTGATTATATTCCTCGTGTTGTCAGACAAGTGTCTGCCTGGGAGAAAGCCAGCTTGGTCCTTGTGTATCTCTTCCACTAATACTTTTTTTAGTCTTTTGGCCAAAATGTCAGCAAATATTTTGTAATCCACATTTAACAGGGATATGGGTCGGTAGTTCTTAAGTTGTGTCTTTTCAGACTCAGTTTTCGGTATAAGTGTAATATATGCTTCTTTCCACGACTCTGGCGCTTTTTTCCCTTCCAAAATTTCATTGCAAACCTCCTTTAGTGGTTGAATTATCCAGTCCTTCAAAGTTCTATAGTATTTTGAGGTTAAGCTGTCCGGCCCTGGAGATTTTCCCAACTGCATGTTCTGAATGGCACCTTCTACCTCCTGTTCCATAATTTTGTAATTCAGCATTATCTTATTTTCTTGAGAGATTTTTTGTAATCCATTTGTTTTCAGAAATTGGTCTATATCAAACTCTTTCTGAGGCCCTTGTGTATGTACAGTGGTGCCCCGCAAGACGAAATTAATTCGTTCCGCAAGTTTTGTCGTCTAGTGAATTTTTCGTCTTGCGAATCACGAAATCCCATAGGAATGCATTGAAAATCAATTAATGCGTTCCTATGGTCAAAAAAAGTCCAAACAAAGCCAAATTTGGTACAACAAGAGTTTATTAACTGCTCTTTAAAGTCACACATACTGTAAAGAGCAGTTCAAAAATTGAAGGGAAAATAAATTAACTTTATAAACACGACAGAAAAACATTTAAAAATCAACAAAGTGTACAGTACATTTTCTAAGACTCTGGGGGACCACTCGAAGAAGGCTCCTCTTCCACTCTTTGCTTCTTGCTCAAGAACCTGTCCATAGTCTGCTGCTTCATCCGCCTTTTCAGCACCTCCCTGAAAGGCGACATGACCCTCGTATCAAAAGTGTTCGCAAGGTCATGTGCCACGTGCTTGTCAGGGTGGTGCCACTGTGCAAAAGCCTGCACATCCTTCCACTTCAGGCAAATGTTCCTCAGTTCTTTGGAGGACAGCCGTTCCTCAGTTGCTTCCTCCTGGAACTCCACTGCAAAGTCTTCAGCCGCAGGAACATCAGAACTGGCAGCCTCTCCATGCCTGACCACGCTGTGGATGCCAGATCTTGTCTTGAACCGGTTCAAACCAACCTCTGCTTGCCTTGAAGACTTCTGGCTCGCCTGAGGTTCCTGGCTGTTCCCGGATGAGGTCAGCATGCAAGGCCTTGGCCTTCTCACAAATGACGGCCTCAGACACTGTGTCCCCTGCACGCTGCTTCTCTTCTATCCAGATGAGCAGCAACTTCTCGACCTCCTCCAGAACAGCTGGGCGGTTCTTCACGATCCTGGTGACTCCCTTGGCTGCATCAGTCGCCAGGATCTTCTCCCTCATCTTCAGGATGGTCCCGATGGTTGATGGATTCCTCCCGTACTCCCTGGCGATGTCCGTCACACGCATTCCGCCGTCGTGCTTCCAGGTGATCTCCTTCTTCATTTCCAGCGTCACCTTCTCCTTCTTCCTCTCGCCGGCCACCGCAGCAGCAGTCTTCTTGGGTCCCATGGCAGCCCAGCTCTTACCTTCGTAAACTCAGAAAAAGAAAAAAAATCAGTGATGTGCTTCAAATCCAAAAAATTCAAAATCACCCAGCCACCCACCACACAGAAATTAAAACCCAGAACCAAGTCCTTGAATCCCAAAAACCCCAATCCAAAATCCAAAACCCCCCAAAAAAATTTTTAAAGTTTAACTTACCAAATGGATGCAAGAGAAGTTCTGCAAAAGCTTCAACAATCAATCACTGAAGTCTTCAGAAACCTCAAATGGCTGCAAAATAAGTTTTGGAAAAGCTTCAAAAATCACCAATGCCTTCAAAAACCTCAACTGTTCCCACAGACACCCACCCACCCACCACACAGAAATCGCAAACCCCTCCCCAACTGCTCCCCCAGCCCCTCCCCAACTGTTCCCCCACCCAGACAAAAAAAAATTTCAAAAAATAACAACATGGCTCAATGGTCCCAGATTCCTGCAGAAACCTCTCCAACTGTTCCCCCAGCCAGCCAGCACTCAGAAATTCAAACTCAGGGAAATTTTTTTGAAAAAAAAAACAAACAAACTGGCCCAATGGTCACAGAAAATCATAAAAATTCCCAAAACAGCCCCACAAGCTCCCAGATTCCTGCAGAAACCTCTCCAACTGTTCCCCCAGCCAGCCAGCACTCAGAAATTCAAACTCAGGGAAAAAAATTGAAAACAAACAAACTGGCCCAATGGTCACAGAAAATCATAAAAATTCCCAAAAAAAGCCCCACAAGCTCCCAGATTATCGCAAACCCCCCCCACAACACCAAGTCCTTGAATCCCAAACACCCCAACCCAAAATCCAAAACCCCCCCAAAAAAGTTTTAAAAGTTTAACTTACCAAATGGATGCAAGAGAAGTTCTGGAAAAGTTTTGGAAAAGCTTCAAAAGTGAGCAAAGTCTGAGAAAAGGCTGCAAAACCACGTGCTAACAGTTGCTCCTCGAAGTCAAGTCGCAACTGCAGCTGTTTAAGCTAAGCACCCTTTGTTTTAACGGTTTTAAGAAAAAGGAAACAAAGTCGTGAGAGGAAATTAGAAAATGTTTCCAGAGGTATTTTAAACAGTTACAGTGGTACCTTGCAAGACGGAAAACCCGCTAGACGAAAGGGTTTTCTGTTTTGGAGGCGCTTCGCAAAACGAATTTCCCTATGGGCTTCCTTCGCAAGACGAAAGCCCATAGGGAAATCTCCGGGACAGCGGGGAAAGCGGAGCGCGTCTTCCCCACTGTCCTCGGACCTCCTCCGAAGGCTGGCGGTGGGGCGGAGAGACCTCCTCCCGCCGCCAGCCTTCGGAAGGCTGCTCCGAAGCCTGGCGGTGGGGCGTAGAGACCTCCTCCCGCCGCCAGGCTTCGGAAGGATGCTCCGAAGGCTGGCAGCGGGAGGAGGGCTCTCCGCCCCACCGCCAGGCTTCGGAAGGCTGCTCTGAAGCCTGGGGGCGGGAGGAGGTCTCTCCGCCCCACCACCAGCCTTCAGAAGGCTGCTCCGAAGCCTGGTGGCGGGAGGAGGTCTCTCCGCCCCACCGCCAGCCTTCGGAAGGCTGCTCCGAAGCCTGGCGGTGGGGCG